AAGAGAACAATTGTTGCTCTTACAGAGTACTCAGGTTCAATTCCCAGCACCCAAATGATGGCTCGCAACCATCTGTAACTCCATTTCCAGGAGATCCAACACTCTCTTCTGGCCTCTGAGGGCACCAGACACACCCATATACATGCAGCCAAACACTAATAAGCATAAAATAAAAAATAAACAAGTCTTTTTTAAAAATTAAGAAATGAGCAAAATTAATAATTTTACCTGAAGTTTTAACTCCTAATAGGTAATAGACTGACTTTGTGTCAGTCTGAGACACAGAAACAAATGCCAGGCCTTCTAAGTGATGAATGTTACACCATCAGCTGTTGAGGTCTAAAGGTCTTTTCAAGTGGCACTTGGTATATCAACCACTCCAGGACAGACCTCTTTCAGGAGCAGTGACCAACATATAATTTTTATTTGGTTATACTTTAGTGGTTTTGGTTTGGGGGTTGGCTTTTGGGGGGGGTTGTTTTGTTTTGATTTGTTTTTCTGTTTGTTTGGGTTTTTCCTATTTAGGTATTGTTTTATCTGTTTGACTTGGTTGAGGGGGTTTGTCATAGTGTTTTGTTTTTTTGTTTTTTTCTGTTTGGAGAAAACACAGTTGGGTGAGTAGGGAAGGGTGGAGTATTGTGAAGGACTTGAAGGAGGGGAAGAATCTGATCGAAATATATTTAAATTTAAAAATTGTTTTAATAATAAGTATTTCTGAAAGGCTGAGTGAAGTCAGGATCTTTCAAGTTCTCATCCTAAAGAAAGGAAAATTTACAGTGATAGATGGACAAATCCTTCTGTGCTGACCATTGCCCAGTAAACACATGAATCAAAACATCACATCACCTTCAGAGATGCATACCTTCATTATACATTCAACATAAATGTAAGTAAAACAAGAGGAAACATTGAGCAAAGTGGAGCAGTGATTGGGAAACAGTGATACTGTTCTCTTGCTCTGCTAATTTGCATTGAGATAGCCTGTGGACAGACCTGTCCAACCTTTCCTGGATTTGTTTAATTGGTCAGCCCTGTCTTTCACTGCTGTATCTTATTTCTACTAGTATCTTTAAAAGGAGCAAGTGTTCTTTCACCGTGAAAGCTGAAATGCCTCTTCCTGATACAATCGGGTGCTTTCCAAGCCCTTTTAAAAGGAAGGAAATTGCTTCTCTGGCTTCCAGCCACCACGCAGCTGAGAGCATGGCTCTTGCAGAAGGGAAGGCACCGAATGAATGACTCTCCTCTGAAAATGAGACAGCCCCCAAGCTCATTCCATACAGGCTGCTGTTATTGAGACACTAATGCAATAAATAAAGACAGATAAAGAAGGCATAGTTTCCCCTGTGTACCTGTCAGAGAAGTAAAGATAGGAAGCCATTTCCAACCAATGAAAAGGTTAAATTTAATTATTTAAAGGAAAGTGACCAAAACCTCTTGTTAGCAATTCAATTTTTTCTTTTATGTGTGACTCACCTATCTCTAGGAAAGAGAGGAGGGTTGTTCTTAGCACACACACACACACACACACACACACACACACACACACCTTTTGAAATATATTTTATTCAGAAAATGTCTTCCTTTATTTTAGTCATCATAAAAACCATGGGTATTATTTAATTTGTTAGTGACATTTTGCTCTAAGTCTCATTTAATTTTTGTTTCCTCAGCTTCTTTATCATAGACAGTAAGGAGTTTAGAAGGATGGACATATGTTGTAACTCCCATGCTATTTTTATTGCTTTTTTCATTTTATTAATTTTACTCTAAAATAAAAAACCAAAACCACTTTAGAACAGGTTCATGGAACTGCCTTAAGGTCTGAAGTGGTTAAATTCCCATTCTCTTCATTCCTCTATTGTTTTATTCCTATCCACTTCTCGTCTCTATTGTCATGGTGGCTCTCTCTGGGACTGGCTACAGGACTGTGGTTTTACCAACTTCGGGTAGAGTTGAGAGAGGCTTGTGTGATCTAGTGACTTGTACAATGCCACGAGTTCAAATGCCAAGTCATAACAAAGCTGCCTTTCAAAATCACACTGACAGTTGCAGAACTTTATCCGACTAATCTTGAGATATTTTCTCGAGACATAACAAGGTGGAATTAATTCAGTTACAGCTCTTGTGTAACCAGAAGATTACTCTGTGAAGAAACACCTAAACAATGCATTAGATATGATTCTCTCCCTGAAAGACATGTGAGGTCAGGGAGAGTAAAAGGGTTCCAGCAATTATTGCTGCATACGGTTCCATTCCAGGATTCCGGAGCTAAAAACAGCCTTACTGTGTTATTCACAACTTTGCAGGTCAGAAATGTGAACAAGGTTCACAGGACATGTCTCATCTCATGCTCCATGGAGTGATAGTGGGGTCTCTTAACAAGAGCTGGAAGATGGGAGAAGATACTCTCACAGCTGTGGGGCTTACATTCTTAGGCTCATTCTCCACATAACCCATCTGTCTACTTGACATTCTCAGTCTGCTTTTTGTCATCTGTTAATCCAGACTAAGAATCTTTGCAAGTATGGAAGTGGGGTCTCCTAGACTTCTTGGGCCAGAAGCCACACCTTTAATCCCTGTAACTGTCTATGGCAAGTCACAGATCTCAGGATCGGCATATGTAAAGAGGAAGGGAAGAAGACTTATCCCTTAATAAAAGCAGCTGTTAGGTCACCTCACTAGGGGCAAGGGATAACTGTAGCTATGCTTTACTTTTTAATTTGCATATAGAGTAACAAGTTTCCTTATGACATTGGCTTTCATATGTGAATTTGAGCAATCCAGTTCTTCCATCATTTCCCCTCTCCCTCGTGCCAGCTGTATTATTCCACTCTACTGTTCTACCTACTCTATCACGTGTATTCTAGTGCCCTGTCCTCAGGCCTCCCTTAAATATGCATGTATAACACAAAGCTAGTCTTCAGAGAAAACATGTGCTGTTCATCTTTCAGAGTCTAAGGTGCCTCACATACTGAATTATTCTCCAATCACTTCCATCAGTTTTCCCACCAATTTCATTTTCTTTGTGACTAAATAAAATTAGCATCTGTATATACCTCTTCTTCCTTATCCGTTCATCTGTTGTTATCTGTCTTTTGAAATAGTCTGCCAAGAAATTTCAAAACAAGTAAGAAGAAAGAGCTAAGGAATGGATACTTAACACACAGACATAAAAATAGATAAATCTTTTTTAAAAGGAGATTGAAAAAATATTTAGCACATGAAGTGAATGTGTAAAATAAAGACTGATGTCATAAGTCTTGTTAACAATAAAACCTTTAGAAAAAGGAAAAGTGAAAGAGATCTGTAAACATCAAGGTATCAACAATGTGTATAAAGTCCCTTCTACACACATTTGTTTACAAATTTTCAACTGGAAATACAGTTCATTAGCAAAGAAATGGCTTAATATGTACAAAAATCCTCAACACTAGCCGGGCGTTGGTGGCGCACACCTTTAATCCCAGCACTCAGGAGGCAGAGGCAGGAGGATCTCTTTGAGTTTGAGGCCAGGCTGGTCTACAAGAGCTAGTTCCAGGTCAGCCTCCAAAGCCATACAGAGAAACCCTGTCTCGAAAAGCCAAAAAAAAAAGAAGAGAGGAGAATATAGCCTTAATGTTACCACTTAGATATAGTGCAAAGCAAAGGAAATGTATTAACATTTAATATTCTGCTTATGTTGTATAGGAATATACAACACGTGGAGTGATTTGAGTTCTTTGCATGAAGGCCTTGACTGTGCTGAAATAGAAACTTTAGTTTTCCCAGGAAATACTTAATAGAATTCTAGAAAATATTCATTCTACAGACACACTGTGAGAGACACTTATTTGTTCTTCATGTAGCAATGTTACAAGGGTCTTCAGATCATGAGAAGGTCCAATATGGGTACAATTTCTAGGTTATTTCTTGTCAAATAGCTGTAGGAGCTTTCTTCTCATTGAATGTTGGGAGATGGTGAAAATCAGAGGAGCTGCACTGTTTTGGGAGTGGTTTGTCCTCAAGAGGTTAATGTGCTTAAAATTTGGTCTTCAGTTTGCCAGTGATTATGCAGTAGAATCTTTAAGAAAAAAAAAATAATAGAACCTTTACGGAAAGTAACTGAGTCATCCGGTGCCATTCTCATGAATACCTAAAGGCTGTGTCTCACAGGTGGCTTCAGTCTAGTAAGTAGGGTACCAGTTTTCTCAAGAGAAGGTTGTTATAAAAAGAAAGAACTTGCCACACCCCGTTCTTTTGCTTCTTCATTCAACATGTGGACACTCCCTCTAATATGGACTCCCACTGCAATGTCATCTTGACATGCTGTAGTATAGCCAGAAAGCCTTCAACAGAGTCAAGCAGCAGCTAGCGCCATGCTTTTGGTCCTCTAAAACTGTGGGTTAAACCTAATTGCTATATAAAATGCCGGACTTTAGGTATTTTGTTATGGCCAAACAAAACAGATGAAGATACCCACAGTGTATAATTGCATATAAGGATTATAAGAGCCAATTTCCATCTGTAAATGCTTTCCTTGCTTTAGACTATTATTATGTAAAGAAATAAATTGCTGTATTTTTCGATCCACTATTGATAAAGGTTTGAAAACAGGTTACATTCTGATTAACTACTGCACATAAATTCTGATATTATCATCACTTTAAATATGTAAACTTGAAAAATTGGAAACTTAACCAAAGTAGGAGCAAGTGGGAAAAGAGCAAACGCTTCCTTCTTTCATGCCCTTCTGTAGGATTCTAGCCGAAGGCAGGTCCCAAATCAGATCTGAAATATAGACAGCTGAGTGGAAGAAGTTCACCCACACACCTATGGCAGCCTGGCTCGGGAGAAAACTCGGGTCTGCCCCAGGCCAGAAGGTGCAGGACATAGGGTACTATTATGGAGAACACATATATGGTGGGGTGTGGGAGGGAGAGACAGGGTGGTTCATGTCCCGTGGACAGAGGCAGATCTGAAGAGTGAAGGCAATGAGGAGCAGGCTGAGGCAGGAGTCTTGCTTGTGACCCCTGGGCCATGGTGATGTCCTGGCCTGGGCTGCTATCAAAATCCACGTCTGGATCCGTGACCCTGATCTGGCTGCAATCTGCGCTGATGTCCATGGTTCCTGTTCCCACCAAAGGCCAAGAGGACAGGCAGCACCAAGTTGGCCCTGCGCCCTCACTGGCTGCAACATTAGGGAGAGCTGGCCCTGGCCCTCATGTGCTGTAGCACTCGGAAGAGCAGATCCGGCACCTTGTCTAGGCCCAAACTTTTAGTTACAAAATGAACACATTCTGGAGAACTAAGGCACAGCATAAGGAGAGATGCATGTGTTCACTAACTTTGTTTCTGTGCATATCAAACATCCACAGTGACTATCTTGAGAAACAGTCTAAATACTTTTCGATGTTCATAAGTTGTGTTTTACTAGCTGTGTGGTTTTATTCCAAATCCTCACATGGTATAACCCTTACTGAATGAAACTTTTCACAATGCCTGAATGAAGAACATTGGTATAGAGGTTTAATGTTCATACAGAGGAAGTAGGCAGGTAATTCCTTAGCGCATGTTCTAGAGAGATTCATAGATATGAAGAGTACATAAAGTTTCATGGACACTTAAGAGATTGACAGGCAGATGAAGGGACAAACAAAGAGAAGTAGGTGATGCCCAACCAAGACTTAAATAAGCAACAATAAACAATAAAACTCCCTTGTTATAGTTACACACAGGGACTATGAGGGGGTTTAGCCCTCAAAGTCCACTGGAGTTACATGGCAAGTATTATACCTTCTTTGATAAACAAACATTCGTTTTCACAAATCACAAAGATAAAAAAATGTGTTCATATACAATATTTTGAGGATAAGTCTAGATGCCAGGAATTTGAGAGCATTAGCACCGTACAGTTGAAATTCACAAGATTTGCACAGGAGCCTTCAGCGTGCAGCCTCCCTCTCGCCTCTACAGGAAACACATTTGATACATCTCTGCCTGTGGCCCGCCAGCTCCTTCATCTGCCTGTCTCTTCCAGGGACTCTCCCCGGCTTCAGCTTCCATATCTCTAAGTGATTATTTCAGCCCCCTCTACACAATAGCAACTCTTCATACACACATTTAATACATGTCCCTAAGGTTAACTGCCTTAGGCCGGTCTGTTTCCAAATTCTAAATTCCAAAGACATGGATCTGATTGGCTATTTTCCCAAAAATATTTTTTGAGCCAGGCTATGCAAGCCATAGGTTTCTTGCTTTTCTGAAACAGGGCCTTGGGGTAGATGCACCTCCCTGGTCCAATAACCATCAGCCAGATGGTGTAAGTCACAGGGTGCCTCCCCATAACAAATCTACTCATTAGTTAGCAAGGGCCTCAGCAGCTGCCCTTAGAAGGGACTGAGGAAATAGCAAGCCATTATATAAACAAGTCTAGTAGAGCTTTGATAATTTTGCTCAACTGAGAAACCGTTCTCAGCTCAGATATTAATCAAGAAACAATTCTTTCTGCCAGAAGCAGTATAATGAAATATGCTTGCAATTGCTGCAGTGGGAAAGAAATACAGAGGCAGCTGGCCAGAACACATGGAGCAAAACCCTGGAGTATGCAGAGAGACTAGCAATACTAACAGAGAAAGAAGAACTCTAGATCAGAGAGCATTCATTAGTTTCAGTATAAAAAAAAAAAAATTTGCTCCGGCCAGATCTGATTTTAAAAAATAAAAAGGATAATTCATTAGATGGATATATGGGAATCACTCAGGACTAAGAAAACCTCAGGAGACACTTTCAAATAATCTACATCAGAAAGGACAACATGATACATTCATCCAGGTGTGATGCATCTAGAATGAGCTGGTCCAACCATTCTAAGTTCGCTAAGGCACCTATTCAAGTCTAGCCATTCGGGGGCTGTCCACAGGAGGAGAGAAAGGTACTTCATGTGAAAGTGAAAAGCTATGCAAAGGTGAAAAACGGTGTGTGTGTATGTGTATGTGTGTGTGTGTGTGTGTGTGTGTGTGTGTGTGTATGTGTGTGTGTGTGTACAGTGTATAAGAGGGATGCATGTATGTGCCCATGCATTTTTATGAGGTGAGAGGTTGCTGTTGAATATCTTTCTGGATTGCTCTTCACTCTATTTTTTGAGACAGTGTCTCTTCCTAAACCAAGAACCAATTGATTCAGATAGACTAGTTGGGCCGTGAGGTCTCGGCCTCCCATCACTGAGAGTACAGCAAGCACCTCACTTTTTGTGGGTACTGAGACTCCAAACTCAAGTCCTCTTGCTTGCTATGTAGGCAGTTACCCATCGAACCATGTCCTCAGATCTTGCACAAATGCTTTGTAAAACATGAGATGGGTTCCTAGAAGAGATTCATTGGAGAAGAATATTTGTAACCAAGTCTGAGGAACTTGAGCTTGACTCCCAGGACCCCACATGAGGGATAGAAAATAGATTCCCTCAAGTTGTTGTCTCACACAGAGACACACATGTGCACACACAGAGAGATGCAAAGACACACAGATACACACACAAATCTCAACACAAAATTTTGGCATATAAAGTGAAATGGCTAATGGACAGAAAAAATGAACAGTGTGTATTACAGAAACTATCTCCTGAGCAATAAGCAATTTGCAGATGAAGTTGTCAGAATAGGGTGGGAAAACAGCCTCCTTAAGAATACTGTTGAAAACACTGGTTAATAACGTAGAATCTGAACACATACAAATAAAATGAAATCAAGTCTTCTACTGGAAAAAAGCTAACAGCTAAGATAAACAAAATGCTTCTTATAGGACAACACTGCTCAATTTTTAACTCCTTTAACCTTCACATCAACACCACAAAGATACCAGATGAGGCCAATTTATAGGAATAAATGTGGCTTACATGAACAATCTATCGAGGAGGTAGCTGTGTTGTGATCAAATCCCTGGCCTCTGGTTCTACTACACATTCTCTCTAAGACCCCATCGGAAGAGCCAAGACTGAGAATGGAACTAACAAAATTCACACAAAGCAAATGAAGAAATCTATTACTAGGGAAGAGCTGTAGCTCTCTTACCATATACCAAGCTAAAGAATCCATAGATTTTTTTTTTGACTAACAGAATACAGCTAACTTTTCTTTTAAAAGTGGATCTATGACATATTACTTATGTTTTCTTGACTATGGAGATTCTGAGGTTAATTACTTAGTGAACTACTTATTCCAAATGGTAAAATCAGGCCTTCCCCACTCACCCTGTACTACTCTTCCCTCAGGGTTGTTAAAGATATTGAAGTGATGACTAAAGTTTGGATGCTTTTTGTTTATGCTGTGACATGAGGAAAATATTTTGTATGGCTTCTCTACACTAGCTTTAAATACCTTTAAGTAAAAGGGGGAAAACACTAATTTGATGAATTTCATTCTGATTTATGTCCAGGAATGGAAAGAAGGAGCATGAGAGCACTAGGGAACACCTGGCTATAATGGTCTGCAGCCCATCATTGGTCAACTGTTTATGTTGTGAAGTTTTAAGCATTCCAGTTCTTTCCCTTCCTGTTTGTCTTTGTGGATGAATCCAGTGGAACCCAAATTACAACTGTTTGTAAACAAATGAAGAGTATTTGGTTGGTAGGAAAGGCTTGTCTACAATTTTAGATAAACTTAAGTCCTGTGTACTAGGAAAAAAAGCCAAACATTCGTTCTAAACTAACAAATGCACCATGTTTTTGTCTCCCACTCAGGTTTGATGCTTATAGTATGGCTGATTGCCCACTGACAGTAGACTAAACTGTGTACAGTTGGGGAATTCCACTAGCGGCACACACTTAACCGTATGGCAAGTCGGAGTGGGAAATTTCAACGTGCTCTGTTTCCTAATCCTTCTTTCTTTGTTTCTGAGTTTCTTCCTACAAGTGAATAAAACCACACGGAAACCTACTATAGAAGCTTCTGAATATATTTGGAAGTTAAAATGGAATCACCCTACGGCAGGTTGACCATGTCTCTACTAGACATCACAGGCTAACAAATACAGAGCCTTCTGCTAAGAACAGGATACCTCTTGGGGGGTTGTTGGCCAGTGAGATCCCATAGGCCCCCAAACATTACAGACTATTGCTAATGGTATAAGCTACACTCCACCACTTGACAGTAAGATGCTATTGCTGAAGTCACCACAAGTTATAGGACATGAGGAAATCAAGCTGATACTCACCTGGAAGCTTCCTCCCAATAGCTAGCTGTGATAGTACAGAAAGTACTACAAACACCCATGGAGGAAAAAAAAATTAATCATCCATCTCACGGAGCATGAATCCTGCAAGCTACCATGACAAACCTGGCAAGACATACCCTGGAACAACAAAAGCATGAGTGTCATGTGAGTAATCCACCACTTTCTGATTGGACTTAAGGTCAACTCCAGAAGATGAAGGACATACCTGGCATCATTATCAGGACAAGAATCTGTGAATAGATAGGCACTATGTGAGAACCTACTGTTATTATTCTGCTAATAAACATGGTATTAAACTGACTCCTAATAACTTACTGTTATACCCATAGATTAATGCACCTCTCAAACTTCATCAGAGAACATTCAGTTTATGGGAGATAGTGATTAACACAAAAATACACAACTGGTCAAGATGCAAAGAATAAGACTGTAAGTTCTCAGTCATTAATGGAACATCTATGTCACACAGCCTCCTCTCAAGACTCATTGGTCATTGTGGAAGAAGGGACAATAGATGGCTAAGGAAACAGTATCTTCTGGACAAAACATGGCAGTTGCCATTGTGAGCTCACAATGGTAATGATACAGGGCATTATCCACAGCCCTGTATCACCTCAATCCAGACAAAACCCTGGTATGGAGAGGAGAGGTGGGCATGAAACCCCACGTCTAGCTGAGCTGACTACTGGGAGAGAATGAGTCAGTTTTCTTTAAGAGTGCAGCAACCAGAAGCTCAACCACACTCTGGTGAAAGGCCAACCACACTCTGGTGAAAGGCCATACATCCAATAATATAAGAGCAGCACAAATTGGTTTTTAAAGGGGAAAAGAGCATTTGGTGGGTAGAAAGGGGGCTTAGTCTTATAGGAGTTTAGGGAGAGGTGACTATAATCAA